CCATCCACCCATCCATCCATCCATTCATCCATGCATGCATCCATCCATCCATGCATCCATCCAACTCACATGTGCTCCATCAGATGTCATGTCAACCTCATTGGGATATGAGGACTAAATGAGAGGATGGCACAATACCTGGCACAAAATTTCACTCCAACCATATTTGTTATTTTTAAAAACATGAAACATGGATTGGAAAAAGTCTGTTGAGGATCTTTGGTCAATAGGATGTAGTGCTCAGGGTTCAGGCCTCCTCAGTCTCCTCCACTTTGGAAAATATACCTAAGACATTTCCCAGGCTCTCTGCTTGGCAGTCAACAAGGAGCCCAGCACAGTGGGGTTGTTCAGATGGAGCAAAAGTGAGCATACCTCAGACTGTTCTGTCCTCCGAGATCACAGTCTCCTGGGGTAGGGAAGTGGAAATCACTCAGGGCAAATTCATGTGAGTGTGACTGCAGCAAATAGGTGACAGCTATATGGGCCAGGGTGCAGGGGCCAAATGTGGACCTGGAAGATAGCAGGGCAGTTATGACCTGGATTGGGCATCTGAGCAACTCCTAGAACTGTGAGGGCTGAGGTGGGCAAAGCCCCACACTGGGGGAGAGAAAAGACCTGTGTAGTTAGGGGGAAAGTACATATTAGGAGACTGGGGAACCATCTGTTTGGCTCGGTAAGGCCAGGCCATGAGGCAGAGAGTTTTAAATGCCGAGCAGAGGAGTAAGGATACCATAGAAGTAGCAGCATGGTGTGGGGAAGGGCGGAGCGGATAAGTGCCTGGAAACACCTGGAGGTGGCAGACTTTTGGAGAAAGAGGGCTGTGTGGGGGGAGGCAGGGTGTTGGGAGAGCACAGTTTTGGCACCACACATTCCTGCCTCTGCTTCTGATCAGCTGCATGACACTGGCAAGTTAATAACCATTCCAAGCCTCGGTTTCCCCACCTGCTGACTAGGCAGTGATGTCACTGTCACAATGCACATAAAGACTTCCCTAGGGTGTCAGCCCTGGTCCTTCCTGCCCTGGTCCTTCTCCTGTCCCGACAGAGGGCACCTCCTCCACGAGAGCAGTGGGAAATGACACATAGAGAGGCATGTGGCACCCAAGAATGGGTTACTATGTGGAATTAAAGCTCCTGGCCTGGTCCCATGGTATTTCCTGAAGTCCCTGACAGCTCCTTTAGGGAGGCCTGGAGACATGATCCTGCAGGTCCATGAGTGGCTGTACTGAGGGGTGAGGACTAGAGCCTGGCCTCCTTGCTCCAACTCCAGTGCTCTCTAATGCACCTCAAGGTGGGCCTTGTATGTGCAGCTTTGAGAAGGCACAGACTGCCCAGGACTTCCCCAGAGGCCCAGTGTCCAGAGAGTGTGGTGAGAGAAAGACCAGGACACAGACAGGAGGGGCAAGATGAAGAGACTACAAGAGAGTTGTGTCTGGACCTGGGAGGAGCAGTCACACCAGGATAGCATTCACTCTGGTGACCAGGAGCATGGACGGGGCAGGGGAAGAATGGAGGGTCCGAGCTGAGGAGTCAGCTGACCCTGAGAGGCTGCGTGAGAAGTTAGAATTGAGGTCTTTGGGGCATCCAAGGGGAGAGAGACTTCTCCAGGCAGTAGGGGCAATGCTTCCTGGTTAGGAAGGAGACTGGTATTAAAGACAAAGTAAATCATGAGGATGATTTTCATATAGTTTTGTAAAGTTATTCACTTGTACATTTAGAAATTGGCCACCTAAGCTTAGTTGTTTGTTAAGTGAGAGGACATTTAAATGCATAAAGACAAGTATGAGCACAGGGACACCCCTTGTTTAAGGAGAGGAGGAGGAGGAAAATCTGAGAACTCCTGAGGCTGGAAGGACACTAGCCCTTCCTGAAAGACAGGGTAGGTATTGGCTGTGTGCCTGTGACTGTGAGGATAGAAATTTGTCTGCTGTGACCCTGTGGAGCAGAGAGATGAGATCCTGGAGGGATTCTGAGAGGGGACATAGATTGGAGGAGGTTGTTCTCAGATAGTCAGTAGGGGTAGGGGAGCTCCCACAGTAGTCTCTCTCTCTCTCTCTCTCTCTCTTTCTCCGTTGCTCCCTCTCTTTCTCCCTGCCTTTCTCTCTCTCTTTCCCCCTCCTTCCCTGTCTTTTTCTCTCAATATATGACTGCCCCAGTCTGCCTGGGGCTTCCCTGCTTACAGGAACTTTCTGGAACATTCTGGCATATTCCTGAGCAACCTTTCTCTCCATACAGATGGGGGACGAGAGCCCCAGAGTCCAAGAGGGATTGCAGGTCGGTGTCTCAGAACCCCCAGGGCCTCGGGCTGCTTAGTGTCTTGTCCTGGGGCTGGCAGTGACCCAGCTGCCTGTTTCTTTTCTTTCTTTCCAGTCTACTTCTGGCAAGGCCACACAGGGATCAAGTATAAGGAGGCAGCTGAGAGCTGCCCCATGCACGCCGTTCGCTGTGATGGGGTGACAGACTGCAAGCTGCGGAGTGACGAACTTGGCTGTGGTAAGGAGGCCAGCCGTGTGTGTGTGTGTGTGTGTGTGTGTGTGTGTGTGTGTGCGCACGTGTGGGCACACACAAGGGCTCACAAATATGTGTGTAGACACCCTGGTGACTACAAACTGTGATACAAACTACAGCTCAAGACAGGAAGCAATGGCCAGAGAATCAGAAGATCTGGATTCTGATTACAGTAGGCCTGGGGTTGAAACCTGGCTTTGAGTGCTGTGTCACTGGATAAGTCACTTGCACTATTTGCCTTTCCCTGGGCTTCTGTTTCCTATTTTGTAAAACGAGAGGCTTAGACAAGATTAGTGGCTCTCAAAATCTGACAACTTTCATGTAGCAGACTGAGCAAAGCAGGTCAGCTCTGACTGGAGCCCCATCTTGTGCCCCTCCTCTTTGTCCAGCAGGTGACCTCTGACTTGAAGTCCTAGATGAGCACTAAGATCTATCTGAACTCTGGTCCTCAGTGATTTTTGTTTTGTTTTGTGCCAAGAATCAAACCCAGGACCTTACACTTGCCAGGCAGGTGCTTGTGCCATGAGGTATATCCCCAGTGATTTGCGCATGTACAACCAGCTGTGGGGTGTGTGCAACCCTGTTATGTAACCCTGCGATGAGGTGTGTGTGCACGAGAGAGTGTCCCATCATTTCACCTCTGCGTTTACATGTACCTTTGCCCATAACTTCATCCATTTGTGACTGACCTTGTGCTGCGAACACTCACTGTCTGTTTCCTCTTGTCACTGTCTCCTGTGGACATGGGAGTGACCCTCCCATGACAGCTCCTGGCTGCACGTGCCCTTCTCCCAGGGATAGCTGGATGGAGAGCTCTCGTTTTGCCCTAGCCCCTTGCCTTGGCTCTGCCTTTTGGGCTTCTGACTACTGCTCCTCTGACCAACCTCCTGGATCTTTCCCAGGCCTCAGTGATGAGTCCTGGGGCAGGAGCTTCCTCCGCCCATCCCCCAAGAGCTTGAAGACTTCTGGGTTCTGAGGGCATGCTCTGTCTTTTCTGCCCTGCAGTGAGGTTTGACTGGGACAGATCTCTGCTTAAAGTCTACTCTGGGTCCTCTCATGAGTGGCTGCCCATCTGCAGTAGCAGCTGGAATGACTCTGACTCCCAGAAGACCTGCCAGCAGCTGGGGTTTTCGAGGTAAGCCTCCCAAAGGTTCTGGCTTTGAGGTGCCATAGGCCCTTCACAGGTCTGCCACTGGCATATTACTGACACCTCCCAGTGTCACAAAACCCCTGGGGACCCGGGCTGATCTGAGCAGCTTGAGACACACTGGGATCCTGTGAGTGTGGGGCAAGCTGTTTTCCTGAGGCCCAGGTAATTATTACAGAGCTGTAATGATATCAGCCTTGTCTGCTGTTCTATGCATCAAAGCATTTTGGGGCTCTCACCACACTGAGTGGTGACGGGAGCAGCCCTGTGAAGGTGGGGGGCATTGGGGCCGGATTTGTCTTCTGACATCTGGGGACTAAAAGCTCAGGCTATGCAAAGCTTTTCTGTGGCCTTTGAGCCACAGCAGGTGTGGTGTGGGCTAGAACTTATCGAATGGGAAATGAGACGGGGCAGGTTTGGCGTGGCCATGTCCTGAGAAGCTTGGGCTATAAGGATTTTAAACCAAGCAGCCAATGCTGGAGCAGTGAGCAGGGTGAGCAATGAAGTGAAAGAGCCTCCAAACTGCAGGCCAAGTAGGCATCTCCATCCTCCGTCTTCATCTGAGTTTTCAAGCCGAGTGGCCGAAGGGTTTGCTGATACATGTGAGGTTTTGGGAAGAAGAGTTTAGGACCCCCCTGTGGGTACCCTGTGGAAAAAGCACCTGGAAAATCAGAGTTGGGGGCCAGGACCTAGAGCTAGTTCTCTGTCCCCTCCTCGGCCTCAGAGTCCTGGCCTATAACAGGGAGTCTGAATGATCCAGACAGAAGACTATGGGCATCTTTTCTAAAATTTGTGTGACCTTGTGCAAGTGTGAACCCCTTGAGCATTCGGTTCTTTGTCATTTATTTGAAGCACATTCATTAAGCTTTGATGAAGGGTCAGAGACTACATGACACCTAGACGCAAAGGAGTGAGATGAAATCCCATACTTGAAGACCCTGTAGAGTGGTGCAGGGGAGTGGGGCTTGCTGTATAACTACCAGGCTAGTGTATGAAGCCTGTGGGGGACAAGAGCAGCATATGTGGGTGAGGTCAGACTCATCTCCTGTATTAGGTCTTGACTGCTGCCCAGTAGCACAGACATGATGTAGATCCTCACAGCCCAGTCTCTAGCTTCAGGGTTCCAGGGGAAGGGGTGCTTTAGTGCTAGCACTTGGGGTGCTGCCTCCATCAGGCTTATTCTTCTTTCCCCTCCTCTCTTGCAGTGCTTACCGGACAACTGAGGTGGCGCACAGGGATTTTGCCAGCAGCTTTTCAATCTCTGAATACAACTCCACCCTCCAGGAAAGCCTCTATAGGTACAGCGGGGCAGGCCAGGCTTCCCGTGTGTAAGCAGGGATTGAGGGCTAGTGAGTGGGGCTTTGAGACACAAAGATGGTCTCCCTGGCCTTTCTGGACCCAGGTTCCAGAAGTGCATCACACATACTCAGGGGCCCTTCAGAAACTGTCCCCATTTACCATACTGCCTCCTGGTTTAAAAGTGGTATTCGAGGCTTGGGGAGGAAGGCACCTGGAGATCAGTGGGTCGGGCACTGGTAGGCCCATCTGGAAGCACTGGGCTCCTCCCGGACCCTTCCTGGTCTTCCTCTCAGGCTTCCTGTCCGCTGTTGTCTTTGCACTGCAGCCCTCCTAAGGGTTGGTTAGGTTGGAGGGTGCTCCTTTTTCACAGAGGGAAAAGAAGGATCAAGTCTCCAAGGAAGGAAATGGTGCGAATGGGTGGAAATGCGATGGTGCAGGACTGAGCAGGAGCCAGTCGGGAAGGCTTTTTGAGGTGGAAAAGTGCCCTTTCCCCACCTCCAGTGTCTTCTCCTGCAGGTCTGAATGCCCTTCCCAGCGGTACATCTCTCTGCAGTGCTCCCGTAAGATGCTCATTTTCTTTCTTAGTCTGTGGTCTGTGTAAGGTGGGAGTCGAGGTTCAGGGGACAAGAGATGGGGCCCTTCTGAGGTAGACGCTGACCCTGGGGGTCTAAGACAGGAAGCCAGGCTCAGCAGGAAGGCCTGGGGGGCACTCAGGATGCCATTTTCCCTCCTCCTGGCTCTAGTGGGAGCTTAGCTGGCAGCCTCTCTCACGCTAACAACGCCACTCCAGGCTCCTGGACTCGGCGGGAGCCCAGGGTTGGACAGGAGAGCAGATGGGGACCAGCTGAGAGCTTGGCACTTGCAGATGGGAAACTAGATGCCAACACTTACTGCGTACACTGTACCAGGAGGGCAATGCACCCATCTCTACAAACATGCTTGCATTCATGCCTGCACCAACCCCACAAGGCAGGTGCCATTACTGCCCACTTAGTGAAAAGAGAACACAATGTTTATCTCGCCTGAGGTCAGACTGACCACTAATAGGTGAGGAGCTGGTGTCCGACTTCAAGTCTGACCCCAAAGCCCAGGCTGTGAACTGTGCCACATGGTCTCTGTTCTCAGTGTCAACCGGAGATGGGTCACACCTGCCTCAGGGCACTGCTAACTCCTCACTATCCCCCTAAAAAGAGAGAACACAACTGTACACACACACACACCTGAAAAACCCCGAAGACCTCTGTCCTGCAGGGGTGACTTGTTCCAGATGTGCTTGTGGATGGTCCCTTGAGATGAAGCATTCCCAGCAGCACCCCATGGCCCGTCCTGGCATCATATAGGCACAAATCCACCAGTGCATTGTGAGGAGTTTATTTCTCCCTTGTTTTGAAGTGATAGACATTCCCATCACAATGCTTACCAATCCAGGAGTCACGTTAGAATCTATCTGCTTTCCTGAGCCCGTCATGACAGCCCTGGGATTCCCTTCAGGACTACAATGCCCGCTGGCTCAGTGCCAAAGCACGGGGCAGGTAGTAAGCATTTGTCAAATTAATGGAAAAAATGAATAAATGGGAGGAAAGAGGAAGCTGCTTGGGGTTGAAATTCCTACTGGATGAAGCCAGAAAGCTAGGCTACCATGTGATACTTCTGCTTGGGCCAGAAACATCTGTGCTGTTTTAGACCAATTGAGCAAAGAGATACCTGGTGGGTGCCCTTCAGGCGAGGGCTGCCCAGCCTGCACTGGGCCTGGGGAACATGGCTGAGGGTCTGGGAGATGCAGGTTTATCATTTGTTTCTTCCACTTCCCCAGACTGTGGACTGAGAGCCATGACTGGGAGGATCGTGGGAGGAGTGCTGGCCTCAGGGAGCAAGTGGCCCTGGCAAGTGAGTCTGCACTACGGCACCACCCACATCTGCGGGGGCACACTCATCGACCCCCAGTGGGTGCTCACCGCTGCCCATTGTTTCTTTGTGTGAGTGTCCCGGCGCCCTGTGAGTCAAAGCTGCTGGGGACTAGGGATCCCCAGGAAGGGCAGACAGGCCTCGTGGTGGAGGAGGACTTTGGTGTGAGCCCACTTCCCATGGAGCAGGCAACCCTGGTGCTGCTTGGGTGTCTACTCCAGAGTCAGGACTTGCACTCATTACTTGCTCCCGGGAGTGAATTGGGGTACTTGCTCTGAGCTGGCCCCCAGGATGAGAAAACATCACTCATAGTTCCTAGGGAGAGTGAGCAGGCAGGCAGAGGGACTTCAGACCCTGCCCCTAAAGAGCCCTGAATAGGCTTTCAGCTTGTTGCTGCCTCCTCCAACAGGAACTTACAGCAGAGGAACCCAAGAAACCAGGAATACTGTCGCAGGACTTGAGGGATGGGGGCTGAAGGGGATCAGTGTAATTGGCTCTTGACATTCCCCAGTGAGCCCTGTCCCTTTGGGAGCCCATAGACCAGGCCTCGGGAGCACTGGCTTCCCAAGTGATGAGACTTCAGTGGACCGCTTTGTCCTGTCCAAATCTCTGACCGCGGATGGTCCTACAACTACAAATCTGCCCCACCTACCGTATTTGGTCCTTGGTGGTCTCACTCACCCCTTAATGTGCACAGCAGCCAGTTCAGAGCAGTTTTTTGGAGCATGGGGAACTGTTTGAGACGCCAGGAGATAGAGGGCTCCTTCCATAGGTCATTTCATCCATTCTCCTGCTTCCAAGCTGGTGTTCCTGCTGCCACTCCCTATGCCTTGCAGGTGCTGCCAGTGAACTCTGCCAGGCTGGTCACTGGACCTGGCTGTATTGGCTCTTGCAGGACCCGGGAGAAGATGCTGGAGGGCTGGAAGGTGTATGCAGGCACCAACAACCTGCACCAGCTGCCTGAGGCAGCCTCCATTGCCCAGATCATTATCAACAGCAACTACACCGATGAACAGGATGACTATGACATCGCCCTCATGAGGCTCTCCAAGCCCCTGCACCTATCTCGTAAGCAAATATGGGCCCCTTCTCTTCCCTAGCACCATCAACAGCCCTTGGACTTGGAAGTGCCCTGTTAACCCATCTGAGGTCCCCAGGGCATCAACATAGCAGAAATCAAAGACCCTTAGAGATTATTAAATGGAACACTTCTATTTCATAGTTGAGAACACTGAGGCCTAAGGATTAGAAAGAAGTTTGCCCCAAATGACACTTCTTACATCACAAATTGGGGACAGAGTTGGGGCATGGATACTGCTCTTAATAAGTATAAATACATTGATCTTTTTCCCCTGGTAGTAATTGAGCACTTAACAGTGGCCAGAGACCGTGGTAGACGTTTGACATACATGACTGACATACGCTTCACAGCCAACCTTGTGGAGCAGGTCCTATTATTAGCTTCATTTGGCATATGAGGAAGTGGAGCTTTAGAAAGAGATAATTACTTGAGGTCTTGCGTGATAGGTGGTAGGTCCAGGATGGGATCCAGGTTAATCTGATTTCCAAGCAATGCTCTTCCCACTTGGCTCTGGGATGGCCAGTTGCATGCACCTCAGTGGAGAATGTGAGCATTCAGTTAACAGCCACAAAGTACACATTCAGTTAACTAACTGCCACAAAGTACACATTCAGTTAACTAACTGCCACAAAGTTGGAGTGAAGGACCACATGAGGCTATTCCATGGAAATACTGGGGAAGTGCTCAGATCGCTGTATCAACAAAGCCTGCATTTATTCATTCACTTATCCAATACCAGCTCTGTGGCAGTAATAGTAAATAGAACAAAATGAGTGATATATACCTAGACAACCAGAAGAGGCCAATGATGCCGTGCTGGGGAGTTGGGAAAATTATGGAAGCATAGATGGGGCCCCTGAATCAGTCTTAGCAGGGTGGGGGAGGCTTCCCCGGAGAGGATAGCTAAGGTGGGTTCTGAAAGGACTAGTGAAAACAGATAAGAGGGGGACAAGCGGGACCCTGAAGAATGAGGTCAGGGTCCTCTAGCATAAGCAAAATTGCATGCTTCAGGAAATCAGAAAGCTTTGGAGGTTAGTCGCGCCATCCCTGTGTTCTAAGCCTGTGAGCTGGTGTGTGCTGGCACATTCTTTTTGGAGGTGGTGTCTGTCGTGAGTCATAGCACTTAGCTCGTCAGAGTGGAGTGAGGAGGAGGATCCCTGGCAGAGCTGGATGCCTGGCCCAGAACTGCACCTAACAGAGGCCCCATCAATAAGCCACTCCTACTCAAGCCATGCCTCCCGCCCCTCCAGCCCTGTCTGGGGAGCCTGGGCCTAAGTAAGGGAAAAGGTGCCAGCTGCCTCCTGCGTTGTCATGCACACACAC